AAAAAAAAAAAAAAAAGAACTGAGCTAAGGGGTAGGCCCCCGATCCCATATTTTTTAATTGGCAGAATTACAAATATGCTCTATGCTCTTAAAACTAATGTATTTTGCTTTCAAGATAATAATACAAGGGGGGGGGGGGAACCCTCCAAAATAATAATGTAAACATTTTAATTGGGTAAAGAGAAATTAAGAGTTTCTTACTATTCTGAATGCCAAATAAGAACATTCCTGAAGTCGGCTGAGAGGAGCCAGAATTCTGTAGTTGGTTCATTGTGCCCCCTGCAGTGTTGTGAAATAAAGTAGACTGTGGTTGAGGTGAAGATGTAGCTCCCTGGATTCCAGGCAAGTTGTTTTGAGAGGAATAAAGAGAAGACTGCTGCATGTCTTGTTGGCTTATACTGGTCTGCAAAGCAGACATAGATGCTGGAGACAGAAAGAGTGTAACTTGCTGCTCTTGAGAACTAGGTGACCCTTGTACCAACTGAATCTGGGGAGAGCTATGGAACAAGGAGGTCTGTGAAGACTCAGACTGAGTAGGACCAGGATTCTGAAGTGAGGAAACTGTGGGCTGATTCTGAAATTGCATGGGCTGTTGCTCTTGATTCATTGAGGCCATATTACTTTGTTGGTGAAAAATTGACTGGTTCTGTTGCTCCTGACTAGCCATTGGATTTTGATTTGGGCTAAATATCATGTTTGGCGGTTGCTTTTGAGATGCCATTGAAGCCATGGTATTCTGATTACTGAATAAAATATTTTGCTGCTGCTGCTGCTGCTGCTGTTGTTGCTGCTGCTGCTGTTGTTGTGGCTGCTGCTCCTGAGATGGAGAGTTACTCTGCATGGCCACTATTGAGTGCTGTGCCTGGAAAATTGCTCCTTGTTGGTTCTGAGGCATTGGATTAGGTGGAAGGGAGCCCAGTGACACCTGAGGCTGAAATAAACCTTGCTGGGAAGACTGAGCCTGATCTTGGGAAAGCAGAGGGTTCTGGATGTGTGATATTGGAGACTGTTGTTGGAAAGCAGCTTGCTGTTCAGTATTTGATGTTGACTGAAGTGGGGAAATTGAGTTCTGTGCAAAAAATGACATCTGTTCTTCTTGGGCTACTGTGCTAGTTTGAAGATTATTCATAGGACTCTGGGAAAGAAATATGTTGGGTGACTGCTGGTCTTGTGGAACTGAAGAGCCTTGCAACACAGCAATGGTACTCTGAGAATGAAACATTGGGGGCTGCATTTGTTCAGAGGATGGTGTAGAAGTCTGACTGTGAACAATAGGATTTGGACTATGAAAAATAGAACCTTGAGCTTCCTGGCTAAGATTTTGAGCATCAGCAATAGGATTTTGAGGATGAAAAAGTTGAGCCTGTGAGTGAGAAGACTGCGGCAAAAAATTCCCAGACTGAAGTGACATCATGTCATTTCCTTGCTGGAATAAACCATTACCTTGTTGCTGGGTACCACTACTCTGAACACTCATCATGCTTTTTGTAGATGAAAAAAGGTTAACTTGAGGCTGGTTGTCCCCACTATGTTGCATTTGGACCATGGTCTGAAAGACACTGTTCTGAATTTGTTTTGCTTGTGCTCCTGTTTCTTCTCCATCTCCTGAACTTGGTGTTGGAAACATGGTAGTGCCAGGGGTGGAAACTTGCTGTGTGGTGGTTGTAGAAGTTTCATTTCCAGAAACTGCAGGAGGAGTAGAAAACAATTCACACTGCATTTGTATGTCATCATTGGTAGATAATGCACTCATCATGTGAGAAGGCTGCTGGTAAACTGGAGACTGTTGAAGGTTTCCATTTGCTGAAGGAGTTGAAGGAAATAACTCTGACTGAATCTGGGCAGCTGCTTGGCAAATACTTTGTTGCATTTCCATCACCATTGCAGCTGATGGTTCCATCACTTGCTGTTGCTGTTGCTGCTGTTGCTGATTAGACAGTGTGCTTTCAGCCTGTGGATGAACGCTTTCAGCTCTTCCAGGTATTAAATTATCTTGTCTGGTGTGAACTGCTGATTCTGTCGAGGAAAACATTGCAGGACTTACACTATTTTGAATTTGACTGACTTGTTGAAAAATACCTGCACTGAGCTGTTCTTGAACATTCTCATTACCATCTGGAGCAGAAAATAAAACTGAAGATAACTGTTGTTGTGCCTCTAAAACTTGCTGGACCAAGTCCACACTTCCACTGTTGCTACTAGCAGTACTGCCTGTAAAACTTCCTGCTTGTAACTGCTGAATAGTATTCTGTAGCTGACTCACACTATTCGGTGATGGAAAAATATTTGATGAAATCTGCTGCTGTAAAGTCTGTGCTTGTTCTTGTAGTGGTGACTGCTGCTGTTGTTGTGAGGCCTCAGTCAGCTGCGACAAATTAACCACTGTACCATCTGACTGTAATACTTCTCTAGATTGAGTTTCTCTTGCCTGAAACTGTGTAGCCTGCTGGAGTAATGCCTCAGTGCCAGGTAGCTGACTAGAGGCAGAAACTGTTGGAAAGGTACCAGACTGTGATATGTCCTGTGTTTGGATAGTAGTCAGAGTTTCTGGATTGTATGCCTTGGGCTGAAGCTGCTGCTGCTTTTCATTTTCCGAAGGTAAGTGGGAAGATGATGGAGATGAAAAGGATGGATTTCCTGGTATGTTAGAAATATTTTCTAAAGTTTGCTGAGTTGATCCAACTGTCTTTGTAGTCTAAAAAAACAAAAAAAACCCAAACAATGTGTATATGTAAACATTAAATAAAATATGACACTTAAAAAAAAGTATTACTTTTCTAAAAGTATATGTAGGACCTATTTTCCACTCAAATAATTATTTATAAAACAGGCGTAAGACAATGATAATATGTATGATTTTAAAGTATTGTAAGCAAAAAGTCAAGCATGAAAGTATGTTAATATTCAACTACTGGGCCGGCAAGATAGCTCAGCAGACTAAGTGCCTGCTTAGGCAAGCACAGGGATCAGGGTTCAATCCCTGGCACCACAAGCCACACCGGCTCCGCCCCTGGGGTGCTGAGCCAGCCGCTGAAACCAGGCATGGTGGCACAGGCCTGTAACACCAGCACTGGGGAGGCTAAAAACAGGAGGAGCACTATGAGTCTGAGCTGTGCAGTGAGACCTTGTACCAAATACATAAAATATTCAACCAATGATATACCTTGGCAAATTAAGGATAATAATAGGACATTAATTCTATGGTTTGTGATCAGCAGACTTCCAAATACCTCCCATTTGGTCAGCAGTAACATTACAGAGAGGAAAAGTAAGCGAAAAGGGGAGTGGGAGTTATGGAAATACACTGAAGAACTGGAAATATATATATATATATATATATATATATATATATATATATTTTTTTTTTTTTTTTTTTTGGTACCAGGGATCGAACTTAGGACCTTGCACTTGCCAGGCAGGTACTTTTGCCACTGAGCTATCTCCCTGGTGACTGGAAATAAAAATGGTTTAATTCCAAAAATGCTAATAGACATTTTGGGCAGGATGAATACAAGGAATGGTTATGTAATTGGGGCTGGCCTTGAGCACACACTCACACTCCTGCTTCAGCCTCCAAAGTATTCAGATTACAGGTGTGTATCACCTATACCAACTAATAATCATTTATCAATACTCCTCAAGACATAGGTATTATTTTTTTTGTCAAAATATATATAAAACATTCACTCTGAAAAGCAAAATTCATTGTGTATTCAAAACAAAAGACATGTGAAAGAAACAGGGTAAGTAAATATAGTAGTTTTATATGTGAGGTTAAAATTAGGGGCATTGGTCATTACAACTCACCTTAAAAATAGGTGATGATCTTTTTTCTGCTGTTATTTCCATTGGAGTAACATCTTCACTCTTAATCATACTGCTTGATATCAGTGGAGTGATCAGGGCATTAGGAAGAATATTTACCTTATCTAAGTTACATCCGGTAGTTTTCATCGCTGTATATACAGATACACACATTAAAAAGAAGAAAAGTTTAAAACCACGAAAATAACCAATTAACTCTATAATTAACATGTTAACTCTAAGCCATGATTTAGGATTTTTTTTTTGGCTAGTTCTGGCTGTCTTAAGGGTGGGTGTGGTGCATCCTGTGGGGCTGGGGATTGAACTGTGGTCCCCTGCACCTGACTGCATTTGCCCAAGTGGTGCTTCAAAGAACTGAGCTATTGGGCAAGATTCCAAGTCATGATTTAAATGTATGGTTTTTAAAAAAGTTTATTTATTTATTGTGTGTGTGTGTGTGTGGTCAGCTCAGCCCACCAGGAGGCGGGGCCGGCTGGCATGTGGTGCTGGGGATAGAACCGCGGTCCCTGTGCTTTGCTAAGCTTGTTCTAAGTAGGTGCTTTAGACCACTGAGCCATCACACCAGCGCCTAAATGTGTGTTTTTTGATACTATAATGGTAGTATGATATAATATTAGTGGATCAAGATATAGCATCCCTTTTTTTAAAAGACCCCAGAAAATGAAGTTTTACACACACAGTGCTGGGGATGAACCCAGGGCTTTATACATGCTAGGCAAGTATTATACCAGAGTTATCTCCAATTCCCTTGTCAGCAGATTAAGTATTAAAAAGCTTAAGTAGTTCAACTATCAAGCTATATCTCTAAAGTCCTTCCCAAGTACCCTGAATTACACTATCCAACATGACCAAGTTATAATTTAGCATACAGCCTAGAAATCTCCAGGACGTTGAACTGTTCAACTGCAATGGTTAGTCTTGTCTTAGCACATGGCTGGTTGGCAAAATAAAATGACTTTTTTTTGGAGGGGGTGTCTTGCTGTGTATAGGCTGGCCTTGGACTTACTATGTAGCCCAGGTTGGCCTCAAATTCATGGCAATCATCCTGCCTCAGGCTTTATATAATGCTGGGATTACAGGCATGTACCACCACGTCCAGCGAAATATTTTTATTAATAGCATTTCTGGTCTAAGGTTTTTGTAACATTTTTGGTTTTGTTCTTTTGAGTCAGGGTGGTGCTATACAGACCAGGATAGCCTGAAACACCCTATCCTCTTGCCTCACCTACTCCCCAGGCTGGCGGCATGAGCCACTATACTGGCAATTTTTTCAATACTTTAAAAGTTTACATTATGGTTCAATTAAACTACATACATAGACTCAGAATACGCAAAACAATCTTGGAAAAGAAGAATAAAATCAGTGAATTCATAAAAATAAATAAATAAATAAACTACATACACATACATATTTACTATTAACTGGATCCCCCATATAGTTACCGTATAATAGCTACAAAGTGCGTTTAGATCTATGTTTATTAACCCCTCATGAGAATAGACAAAATTAAGAAAAAGTCTTTGCTCATCCTAAATTGACCAAAGACCAATACATTACTGATGTAGATAAATAAGAAAAGATAAAGTGGTTTGTTTGTTTGTTCGTTTGTTTTTTCCGGTACTGGGGATTGAACTCAGGACCCTGTGCTTGCCAGGCAAATACTTATTCTACTGAGGTATCTCCCTGGCTTCATGGTTTAATATAAAAAACTCTGCAAAAAGTCAATACAGAAAGATCTAGTATGGGGCCAGGGAGATGGCTCAGTGGAATAAG